CTTGACTTAGAGACACCGGGCTACATGGCTTCTACCCCACTTTTTTGCCAGGCCCCCAGGAATTGCCCAGTCCCAAAGATCTCAGGAGCTGGACTTGGAGCTGGAGCAGCATCGGGCCTTCCCACCAGAAGCGCGGGTTCAGGTGGGAAGCTGGGCAAAAGGGGAGAACGTGAAGCCGGGCATTTGGAGTCGTTGCTTGTGTTAGCTTCGGCATATTATTGAGAGAGGAAGCCATTTCAGACCCAGAAGCGTAATTTGCGCGGCCACGGCGAAGCAAGAAGCAGAGTACTTGTTTCCTCGAGATCTAGCGTAGAGGCACTGGCTTCAATCGCAAGCCCAGTTGCCCAGTGGTGCCCCTTTTTCCTCTTGGGAAGGGTTCCCTTTAAACTCAACCAACCCAAAAAAGGACGCCCTTGTTTTCTCATGGCCACTGGGCATCTGAGCAAGCTTGGCATTGGCCGACGCTGTGGTTTCTGCAAGTCTCGACCAAAGTCTAAGGGTCGGAAGCTTCGCTTCGTTGCCAGGCGGTGGGCGCGCAGACGCTGGCCGCCTACTCCACCCCCCGCATCGGCAGGAAGCCGGAGCACCTGGCCAACCCCATCGTCCCATTGTAGGAATCGTTTTCCAGGAGAGTACTGGGAGCCCCGGATTTTACTTTTGCCCCTGCTTGATCTGAAACTTGGGGATGTGTTCCCTTTTGGCGAAAAAAAAAAAAAAACATGAAAAAAGAGAAGCACTTCAGTGGACCCGGAGGTGTCCCCTCATTGGGGATTCACTTCCAGACCACCCGATGGCTTTGATCCATGCGCACCTTGCGCTTTTCTCCTAATGTCAGGCACGCTCGGTGCCGCAGTGCCCGGGCCCAGAGGCTGGAAACCGACACCAGGCCTCAGCTCTGCGGCGACCTTTCTGCTTGTGGCTGATGTTCACTTCGGAGGAAACAAAATCAACACGCAAAGGGGAAAAATAATCTTTCTGCAAGCCAGGTTGACATGATGGTCATACAAGATGGGTCATGCGTATTGCCTGGATGTATGGTCACATGGCTTTTTCAGCCGCGTGCGTTCGGCCGACCCAGACATGTGATGGGGGGGCCAGCCGCAGGCTTTCGGGGTGAGAGTCTCCGCCGGCCTTCGGGTTTCACCGGTGTCCAGGTCTCGGGCCTCTGGTTGATCCCTGAAATGGAAAATGGCCCGGTCCTGAACATCAAGGGTGGTTCACTCGTCTGTTGGTTCACTAGTCTGGGCTCAACATGATGGTGTTTTTTTTGGCGCATGTGCATTTGGAGTGGATTCTTTTTTCTTTGGTCTATTTTAGTAGGGGAACCCTCCCCCCAAAAAGGGTACAAGGGCACTACTGGGAGACCTAGTAGTACAGATCAGCAACTCCGGCAAACCAAATAAGATATGCAACAACATATGCTCCAACTACGCTTTTACCGTGATGCTGTTCCATGTTTAGTTGAACCTGATATTTCTTGAAAGACTCCAGAATGCGACTGACATCAAACGCTCTTGCAGGGCCTTGGACACCGAACAAGCAACAAAGGAAGTAGATGGCAACATCCCTGGTCAATCTTGGGGACCAAAATAATTGTGGCTTTCCTTTCGGTTTCCCATTCAAGCCAAGCTGAAATGGGGGACCCTAAAAAAAAAAGCACCCACAGACACACAGCCGCTGTGTGCTTTTTTGCTGGGGCAGTTTAAGCCATCTACTTGCCCCGGATGCCCTGGCGAAGACCGCCGGTGGAAAAGAAGGCGTTTGACCGTCGAAGGCGTTCGACCGAAAGTTGAACCCCCGGCACCCTAGTGCGGTTGATTCTGTTCATGTCAGTGGCTGTCTGTTTTTTGAAGCCACAAAAACGACAAACCGCTTTTTGGCAGTTGAAATGAGGATGTGTCCCACAGCTTGTCTTGTTTGCCTTTGGGGAAGCTTCACGCAGCCGTTTCCATTCAGGGGTTGGGATCATTGTCTTGTTTCCAGGGCTGTTGTTATGTACCCCGGTCAATGTGTGGTGTCCCAAAACGGCCCCAATCATGTTTCCATAAATGGTCTATAACCAAGACGGGATGGTTCAGCCACGACGGCCTCGTTTGGCCTGCCCGAATTGTTTTTTTTGTTTTTGCCCCAAACTGCTTGGGGGTTCTTTGGGCGGCTTAGGATGCCTCGATTTTTTTCGCCATGCCAAACTTGGGGAAAGCTTTGGGCGGCTTAGGATGCCCCGGTGTCGCCATGCTGGCCGTGCACGTGCACCTGCCCAGCGGCAAGAGCTGCCGCTGCATTCTGTCTGCCGAGTCCAGCGTGCTGGAGCTGAAGCTGGAGGTGCAGCGGAGCTTCCGGTGCCGCTGCGTGCCTTGACTGCTATTGGGCAACGGATCTTTAGACTTCAGCTATTTGCTGGAAATCAAGAAGTGGACTCAAGCAGGACTTGTTGGTTGTAATCAAGTTGGGGTTTCCGTACTAAACCCCAAAAAAGTGAAAAACAAGAGCTGTTTGCAGGGTCAGCAGCCAAGGTGCGGCTGGCGTTCCAAGGCCAGCAGCTGGAGCTGCCGTGCACCTTGCGCGAGCTGGGAGTTTCGGACGGGGATGGCGTAGATGCGGTGGTGCAGCCGGCGCGGCTGGCGTCCACGGCGGGGGCCTTCGCGGTTTACGTCGCGGGAGGCGCGGCGCTCACTTGGGGCCGGCCGGGCTATGGCGGGGACAGCAGCAAGGTGCAAGATCAGCTGACGCGGCTTCGGCGGATCCAAGGAACCAGCGAAGCCTTCGCGGCAATCTTGGATGACGGCTCTGTGGTGACGTGGGGCCATCCTGACTATGGCGGTGACAGCAGCCAAGTGCGAGACCAGCTGGTGGGGGTCCGGCAGATTCAAGCAGCTGACAATGCTTTTGCTGCTATCCTGGGCGATGGCTCTGTGGTGACGTGGGGCTTTCCACAGCGTGGCGGTGACAGCAGGCAGGTTCAGCACCAGCTAGTGCGAGTCCAGCAGATCCAAGCAACTAACGCTTCGTTTGCTGCTATCCTGGAAGACGGATCTGTTGTGACTTGGGGCGATCGTGATTACGGCGGGGACAGCAGCCAAGTACGAGACCAGCTGGTGCGTGTCCAGCAGATCCAATCATCGTGGGGTGCTTTTGCTGCCATTTTGGACGACGGCTCAGTGGTGACTTGGGGCGTTCCCGAATGTGGTGGTGATAGCCGCCGGGTGCAAGAGCAGCTGGTGCGTGTGCAGCAGATCCAAGCATCGTGGGGTGCATTTACTGCCATTTTGGATGACGGCTCTGTGGTGACTTGGGGTGATGGTGACTATGGCGGTGACAGCAGCCAAGTGCGAGAACTGCTGGTGCGCGTCCAGCAGATCCAGACCACCTGGGGTGCTTTTGCTGCCATTTTGGACGATGGCTCAGTGGTGACTTGGGGCGTTCCTGAATGTGGTGGTGATAGCCGCCGGGTGCAAGACCAGCTGGTGCGTGTGCAGCAGATTCAAGCGACGAATGCCGCTTTTGCGGCCATCTTGGAAGACGGCTCTGTTGTGGCCTGGGGCAGAACGAGAGGTGGCGGCGACTGCAAAGAGGTTCAACAGCAGCTGGTGCGGGTCCAGCAGATCCAAGCGACCGAGGCAGCGTTTGCTGCAATCCTGGACAACAACTCTCTGGTCACGTGGGGCGATCCTAGGGATGGCGGTGACAGCAGTCAGATTCAGAATTATCTTGACTGCTTGTGAGAAATGCCTCCCGTGCCATTGCCTTTCTGGATGAGCCAATTGTCAATACATGGACATTAATGGATGTATTATCATTGTCATCATTATTGTCTTCATGGTTATTATCTATCGGTGTGCTCACTAGTACTGTGTTTATTTTTATTGCTATAATTGTTGTTTTGATTGCTGTTTTCATCCACATTACTGCAGTTGTTGCTCTTGCTGATGCTATTGCAGTCGCATCATCACGGTCGCCGTTGACTTTGCTACTGCTGCCGCTGCCGCTGCCTGCTGCTATAGTTTATGACGTGGCGATTTTGAGACCACCTTCATTCTGATCAACCGAATCACGTGGAACACTGTCCGTATACACCTATGTGTGTTGTCTTGATGCTGCTACCTTGCTGACCAGAGTTGGCTCGGTTTGCAAATGGTTCCTTTCTGAGAGCCTTGTGAATGATCAAACACGACTGCATGCGGGATGTCCAACTGAGTGTCTATGTGTTTGTCTTTGTCACGACTAGGGTCGCCTGCAAACAGCTTTCAGACGTCGGTTTGACAAATCCCCAAACGGGTTCGACTCGTTCTGATGCCAAATGTCGAACTCACATTTCGGGTTTCCCGCCTTGGTAGGTCCATAGCACATGGGGCTTGGCATTCGGGGCGTAAAACACCAATTGCATTTCAGTGTCCAGCCCCGAAAATTGGGATTCGAAGAATGTGCCACCGTGTGTCTGAACATGAGGGAGCCCTGGATGAGTTGTTATTCTTTGCAGGAACCCGAAGAGACCCAGCCATTCCTATAAGGCGTCATCTTTGGATGGTGGTCGCTCACGCCCGCGCTTTTCCCCGGCGTGGCGAACCGCCACGCAAAGAACGCGAATGATGTGCAACTTGCAGTTTGCTCATGGGCGCCATCTCGCAGCTTTTGGGCCGAACCCCGAAGGGAGCGTCCTCTGAAGCAGATTTTTAGAGACCTTCGCGACCCGAAAAGTTTTTGGCACCTTCGCCGGCGAGTTTGCGCTCAAGCTCCAGGCGCCGGGTTGTGGTGTTCGCAGTTGACAGGATTGGGGCCAGATGGTATTCTAACATGCGCCAAAGATATGCGAGACACGTTGCGCTTGTACATGCATCTCTCTATGTATATATTTAATATGTTTACAAAAAGAATGTGATACATAAAACTAGATACATAAGTAACTAGACAAGTGTAAATATATTTTTTTATGTATACATCTATATACACATACATTCAGATCCACGTCTTCCCGCATTCCTTGGATCTCTTGCTGCTCGCAGGCGCCGGCCGTCGAAGAGCGACGGCAATGGAGGCCAATTCGAAACCGCCGAAACGAGGACGTGGGACGGGAGAATCATCTTGGCGAAAACCCGGGTTTTTAGTATATATATATAGTTTTGGTGGTATCATAGGTTGGTTCTTTGGCTTTTGGTTTTTAGTGGTTGCTCTTTGGTGTTTGGTCGGTTAGGGTTCTTAGTCGGTTTTTCGTGGTTGTTATTTGGCTGTGTGCAAAATAGGGTCACCCGAAATGGGTTGCCCTGGTAAATGGACTAAAACCTGCGGTCCATATCCTGGTGGTTTATTTGTTTTTGTTAGTTGGTTCCCTAGGATCTTAGTTGGTTCTTAGTTGGCTTGCATCTTACAAAAGGTTACAAACTTTTAGCAGGGGATCTGAGGACAGCCCAGATGGGTCAGTCTTGTTTTAGGGGACACCCAAATTGGCTCCGGTTTTCAATGTGGATGTGCGTTGAAACTACAAAAGAGAATACCCTCAAAAAGATACACCCATATAGATACAGATTAGTTTCAACTCCGGATGCGGCAGGACCGGAAGAAAAGGCTACCGCTTGGGGAGAAACAAGTCGTTGGTGTATTATGCATATCGATTGATCCGAAGATAGCATTCACATGCTTTGTACTTCCCCTAAGCCACGCACAGTGGAACGGGGAAAGCAGAATTTACATATATATATATATATATATGCACACCTATGATACATCCCTCGTACAACTGAAGGCTAGGGTCCCATTTGCTCCGCTTCGTTTCGGGCCTAAGCCCTCGAGAAATGCTTCGACGGGAACTTGCTACCCGTCTGGCTCACCCGTTGTTTCGAAAGCCATTGGACTCGGTCAGGAATTCAACGTCAAGGACACAACTCTGACCCACAGCCTCAAGCTCTAGCCCAACGTCGATTTGCTTAAGACGGTTTGTATTTTCCCCCCTTTGGTGTTTAAAGGGAATCTATCACTGGAAATCTGGTCTTTTTTTTCCGGGCTGAAGCAAATGGAGGCCCAAAAATCCCACGAAGCGCCCAGAAGCGCCCGGATCCGCCCGGATCCGCTTGCCCCGGGAACCCGAGAACCGTCGCGAGGTGGTACTCTTGGGCAGCGAAGGCCTGCCCCCGGGGGCGCTGCTGTCGCTGAAGCGTCTTGGCTTTCTCGGGATCCCGTCTGACAAGGGGGCGTTCTTTGCTATTGGGTTGGATCTCTAGCCTTTAACTTTTTGGGGAGTCAAGGGGTGTTCCATGAAACCCACAAGAGTTTTTTATTCAGGGAAACCAACTAGGGATACAGGGGCAACCAGTACGGGAGGATTCCCCCGTTTCTATGGCTAGGAGAATCCCTTACCAACCTTCTACCCAGGTTTTGAGCAAGTGGCTCAAGCGTAAAACCGCCCCCAAGGAAGACATTTCGAATTCTGCTCCCTGTGAGTCGGTGAAAACATGTTACATGGCCAGGGACCTGTGTCGCTCCTCAAGGCCCAGAGTGTCGGTGTTGTAACATTTTGATGTCATAAATTGGACAAAGGAACAAGAGGGCATACGGAGGGAGCGATATGAGCCATTTCCCATATCAAACTTAGTCAAGGTGCATCATGGGTGCGGATATCCGCCTTGTTAGTTCTTGAAGCATGGTTCTGGGTAGACCGTTTTAATGCCAGGTTTTGATTGTGACTCACTGGTCCCAAAAGCGAGTCGACCGACCTTTTGGCCGTGCGTTTTCTCATTTGGGTATGGTTCAGTTTTTGAAAGAGCTAGGGTCACGCAAATTTTGGTCCTTGCTTTTATTCACGTTGGTGCCATGTGCCATGTTTGAGGAGCGATTTTGACCCATAAGTCCAGGTCCTAAAAGGTGATCGCCTATGTCCAGGTCTTTTGGGGCACCTGAGAAGTAGAAACTCTGGTTTTGATCTGAAGGCCCTTCGGATGGACATGATTACGCGGATTTAGGTCCGCCAACCCTTAAATGGAGAATGTGTGTTCACCAGTTCATATATGTGGGTATGCAGGTCATTTGTTTTAGCTGGTGGGAGGGGTGGCGTGTTCTGTTTTCCCCGGAGTCTCTCTGTTTCGGGCGTGCGTTCCGCTCCGCTTTTGCGGGACAAACGGCGCCCCAAGCGGGTTCCTGGGTGACTTTGAGTGATCAAATTCATGGCGCGAACCCGCAAAGGAGCAGCTCGTTCCGATGTCCCCAAATGATGTGTTGCTCCTTTGTGGCCAGTCGTGATGCCGGCGCCGGCGTTGCATCCGTAACTGGAAAAGCACCTCCGGTTGAAGTAAAGTTCAAGGGCAACCTGTTGCCTTTGGAAGGGTCCCCATCTGCGAGTAGCAGGAGGGCTTCGTGGAAGTTGGTGCAGGGTTGGTGAGTGCCGCACGGAAGGAAACAATACGACCCGAAGTCTTGCGCTGGTTTTTTTGGTTCTGTGGAAACGGTTTCAAGCGGCCTTTGCATCGTTTCAGAAGCTGAGGTGGGGTGACATGAAGCGGCAAGCACCAGCGCGCTGCCCAGCTGTTCCACTGCAGGAGGACAGTGCCATGCGTTACCGCTGTTTTGCCAAGCCCAAGCCGGGAATGCGATCCTTGGGGCTCCGATCATCCCCCCCCCCCCCGCGAATTACGAGCTCTGCACAGAGCTCCATTTGGTCCAAGCGTGGCAAGCCATTCGATCAAACCATACTTGGGTGGGTCTCAAGAAAGGGGGTACCCCCCCAAAAAGAGTGGATAGTGTCCTTCGGGTTTTTGTTCCAACCCAAAGACACGGTTCCCTCACCAAAAGGACGAGGCACCCGTTTCAGCCTTCGCCGAGGTCTCGCAGACGGGGCAGCAGTTCCGCTTCAACGACTCGGCCACGCACCCCATGCAAATGAAGGCCCCTTCAGCAGGGCTCCTTAAAAGATACACTTTGCAACCATTTGATTCATGTTGCTTTTTCCACCGGAAAAAAAAAAAAAAAAAAAAAAAAAAAAAAAAAAAAAAAAAAAGGGAAACCACCACTTACAAGGCAATGCTCAGGTGTATAATGCATCCGGATCCCTGTTCAGGGCCTCAGAGCCAGAAAAGTTCCCGGCCCGGCGTTCGGAGTTCGGATCGGATGCCAAACGTGGGCGGAGGCGGGGGGGTTTGGGGGCCCTTCTTGGCTTCGAGGCGCGCCCGATGGCGTCACTTCAGCCACAATCAAAACCTGGGTAGATGAAGGTTAGTCAGGGAAAGACCCAGCCGGAAATAGTTGCGGCCGACTTTCTAATTCTTTACCATTTTTGTAAAGGTTTTGATTGTGACTCACTTGGAATGCCCAGGTCCCGGAAGAGGCCCCAAGCACTCACGGACATGAAAGGACTCACTGGACATGACACCCATACCTTCTGGGCGCGTGGGTTTTTTGCTGTTGGGGAACCCCCCCAAAAAGAAGAGGTGTTTAGCGTTTGGTTTCCCCTGAAACCAGCCCAACAGAGGGGGACGGTTTCTCCAAAAAAAAAGCGGCAAGAGGTGGAGGTGCTCACCCCCATGGTGCCCGCCCAGATGGTGCAGATCGATCCAGCGCAGGAGTCGGAGTGGCAGACCCGTTCATTTCTTGGCTCCCAGCCATCCGGTTCCTTGGCCTTTGAGCTTTTTAGATCTTTCTAGTGGCGGTTTCCATTTAACCCACTAAAAGTTAGCCACTTTTAGCGGGGGATCTGAGGGCAGCCCAGCTGCAAAATGAAACCATGTGGAGGTGGATCAGAAGGTCTGTAGAAAGATGAGATAACCATCAGGGGGAAAGAAAAAGACACCACAAGTTGCCGATTGGCATGGGCCCAGGAAGATTGATCAACATGGCGACTTGAACTTCTAGAGTCTCCTTGAAAGAGCTCCTATTGCCAGTTACGGCAGGGCTTAACGAGATCCTCTTGCCAGTTGCGGAAGGGGGGGGCTTCTGTTGATGCAGAGAGAAGGGCCGCCTCTCCGGCCGTCGCCCTTGGGCTTCAGCCGGCGCCTGGCGCCTGGCATCGGTTCAGGAGATGTTCGAGGTGGCCTTCGACCCCAAGATGAAGGCCGCGGCTCCGCAGAGCCCCCCGCCTTGTCGGATCTTCGGAAAAATGCCGCGGGCACAAGAGAAAGTGTCGGAAGGAGTGTTTTTTCTTTGGGGGTGTGCTTTGCAATAGGATAACCCCCAAAAAAATAATGAATGAAGGTGTTGGTGTCCTTTGGTTTGCCTTTCAAATCAGGAAAGTCCCCAGTCGTTTTTTGGCCGGACCTCGCGAAAATTGGACAAGGTGTGGTTGTCCGCCTCAAAACTGCGCCATGGTTGTCTGTTCTTAGGGCATGTCCTTTTCGGTTTCCTATGTCAAGAACATGTTCGCACTGACTTCATGCCTGTAGGCGCGCAGAGTCCAATCCACGAAAGTAGAGCCGGGATACAGCATGTCCGTTCATTCAA